TTTCAGAATGCCATACCGGCTCGGACGTCGCCCGGGGTTAACAAGGTCCGCGCTAGATATTGGAGTTCCTGGATATCTGGTGAAAAATGGGTTACAGGACTCAGGACTGTTGGCTGAGCAACCAGGGCCAGCAGCTGCAGAACTACTGGAAGAAAAGGTGTTTACCCGTCGCAGATACACAGTGATGGAAAACAAAGAAATAATGATCTGTTACTACAGATCAAGTCCAACAAGAAGAGGATATCTAAAACGAATGCACCAGTTCTGGAAAGAACAACATCCAGAATCAGAAATAACAGAACAGAGACTAGCAGATCAACGCCGATTTATAACACGAAATAAAATATTCACAGAAACAGAATTGGACGAACTGCAAAGGTTTACCCAGAGCAAAGAAATCAAAGCCTTACCAGAAGTAATTCAGAATGTAGAGGCAAACCAGGGGGAGTTGGCAGTGAAGGAATCTAGCAGAGATATACAACTGTTCTCATTTGGAAACCAGGCACCTCTACCTCAGGAAGAACAAAACCCTCTAACTAAAGAAATAAAAGAATTGAAACAAAGAATAACTGAGCATCTAGAACAGCACAAAAACAACAGAATAAGGCTACCTGCATTGAAGCTTGTTCCAAAGAAACAGCTAGCACAAGCATTAAAAGATGCAAATATTGCAATATCAAGTATAAGCACCAATTCATTGCAAGAAACAAACCAACTAATGTACAGCACAGCTGCAGTTATAACAGAATACCTGGGATGCAAAATCAACAAAGAAGAAAAACAAACAAACAGTGCACCAGAAAAATGGAAGGTTAGACTAGAAAATAAGATCAGCAAGTTAAGATCACATGCAAGCAAGCTAGAACAGATGAAAGAAAAGAAGCTGAAGAACAAGAAGACCAAAGAATACCTAATCAAGAAATACCACTTAGAAACAAGGAAGATCAAGGAAGCACTGGAAATAATAAAGCAACAAATAACAGCTATAGCCAGGAAAATCAGTAGATATGAAGCTCGAATTGCAAACTATAGGCAGAACCTCCAATTTCAATCCAATCAGAAACGTTTCTACCAATCCATCAATGGAGAAACTGCAAGGAATCAGTCAGTACCTGACAAGGAAGAAACAGTGCAGTTCTGGAAGCAGATATGGGATAACCCAAAGAAATACAACAAGGATGCGGCTTGGTTAAAAGAGGTGGATGCAAATAAAACAGAAGTTGAAATGAAAGAACTAGTAATAACAACAAAAATGGTAGAAAAAAGAGCAAAGAAAATCAAAAATTGGTCAGCACCAGGTGAAGATGAACTGCATGGGTTTTGGTTGAAACATCTAACTGTTATACACCCACTCATTGCCAAGCAGTTCAACAATATACTACAAGGAGGAGAAATTGAAAAGTGGCTAACAACTGGGAAAACCTACCTAATAATGAAAAATCCAGCAAAAGGGGCAACACCAGGTAACTACAGGCCAATTACCTGCTTACCAACAACTTTCAAATTACTAACTGGTGTGGTAGCTGATGCAGTACAACAGCATCTAGTTGAAAACAATCTCTTTCCACCTGAGCAGAAAGGAAACCGCCCCAATAGCAGAGGAACAAAAGATCAACTCCTAATAGACAAAATGATCTTGGAAAACTGCAAGAGAAGGAAGACCAACCTGAATGTGGCATGGATTGACTACAAAAAGGCATTTGACTCTCTGCCACATGATTGGATAATAAAGTGCCTAGAAATAACAGGAGTCAGTAGAAACATCAGAAAATTTGTGCAAAGATCGATGGCACAATGGAAGACACAGTTGCAGATCAATGGTGAGAAGCTGGGAGAGGTTAATATCAAGAGAGGAATATTTCAAGGAGATTCATTATCACCATTACTATTTGTTATTGCACTGTTTCCTCTGTCAACAATACTGAATAACTCAGGACATGGCTATCAAACATCAAAAACATCTGCCAGACTATCCCACCTCCTTTACATGGATGATCTGAAGCTGTATGGAAAAACATCATCTGAAATAGAATCGCTGCTCAACACTGTCCGTATATATAGCCAAGATATTGTAATGGAGTTTGGCTTGGACAAATGTGCCACACTTACTATCAAACAAGGAAAAATAATGAAAACTGAAGGAATCAAGATGCCCCACGAAAATAACATTAAGAGTCTGGATGAGGAAGAGTACTACAAATACTTGGGTATCCTTCAAGCTGACAACATCAAGCACACTGAAGTCAAGAAAAAGATTAGAGGTGAATACATCAAGAGAGTGAAGAAGATCTTAAAGTCCAAACTCAATGGAGGAAATACCATAAAGGCAATCAACACCTGGGCAATCCCAGTCATTAGGTACACAGCTGGAATAGTGGACTGGACTCAAGCAGAACTAAAAGCAATGGATAGGCAGACCAGAAAAATAATGACAATGAATCATGCCCTTCATCCACGCAGTGACATTGATAGACTTTATCTACCAAGGCAAATAGGTGGGCGTGGAATGCTACAAGTACATCAGATGGTTGAAGAAGAAAAAATGGCTTTGGAAGAATATCTGAAGAACAATGATGAAGATGCACTGAAATTAGTATATCAGGAAGGCTTACTGACTACTGGAGAGACCAAACTGGCCTACAAGAAAGACCAAATGAAGAACAGAATAGAGGCATGGGAAGACAAAGCACTACATGGCCAATACATGAAAAAAATAGCTGGGAAAGCAGATAATAATAAAACCTGGCAATGGCTAAGAGCAGGAAAATTGAAGAAAGAGACCGAGGGACTAATTCTGGCTGCACAAGACCAAGCCTTAAGGACAAATGCATACAAAGTCAAAATTGAGAAGACAGCAACAGACAGTAAGTGCCGCCTATGCAAAGAAGCTGAAGAAACAGTGGACCACTTGGTAAGCTGTTGCAAGAAGATTGCACAAACTGATTACAAGCAGCGGCATGACAAAGTAGCAACAATGGTGCATTGGAAGATCTGCAAAAAATATCATTTGCCTGTAAGCAAAAACTGGTGGGATCATAAAATAGAGAAAGTCATAGAAAATGATAAAATTAAACTGCTCTGGGACTTCAGAATTCAAACAGACAAGCACCTGCAACATAACACCCCAGACTTAACAATTGTCGATAAGAAAGACAAAAAAGTCTGGATAGTGGATGTGGCAGTGCCTGGAGATAGCAGAATAGAAGAGAAAGAACTGGAGAAGATAACAAAATACAAAGACCTACAAATAGAAATAGAAAGACTGTGGCAAAAGCAAGCAAGGGTAGTACCAATAGTCATAGGCTCCTTGGGTGCAATCCCAAAACAACTGGAGCACCACTTGAACACCATTGGCATTGACAAATTCGCTATTAGTCAATTGCAAAAGGCAGCCTTATTAGGAACTGCTTCCATCCTGCGACGATATCTGTAATACCATCAAACATCCACATCTGCCTATCCCAGGTCCTGGGTAAGGACTCGATAGGTAGACAAAATGCCAAATCCAGTCTGAACATCTGGCTGACTGTGCGATGATCGATAATAATAATAATAATAATAATAATCATCATCATCTAATATTATAATATTATAATGCTAATAGCGAATTTGTCAATGCCAATGGTGTTCAAATGGTGCTCCAGTTGTTTTTGTCCTTGGGTGCAATCCCAAAACAACTGGAGCACCACTTGAACACCATTGGCATTGACAAATTCGCTATTAGTCAATTGCAAAAGGTGGCCTTAGTAGGAACTGCTTCCATCCTGCGACGATACCTGTAATACCATCAAACATCCACATCTGCCTATCCCAGGTCCTGGGTAAGGACTTGATAGGTAGACAAAATGCCAAAACCAGTCTGAACATCTGGCTGACTGTGCGATGATCCATAATAATAATAATAATCAAGATGCCCCACGAAAATAACATTAAGAGTCTGGCTGAGAAAGATTACTACAAATACTTGGGTATCCTTCAAGCTGACAATATCAAGCACACTGAAGTCAAGAAAAAGATTAGAGGTGAATACATCAAGAGAGTGAAGAAGATCTTAAAGTCCAAACTCAATGGAGGAAATACATAAAGGCAATCAACACCTGGGCAATTCCAGTCATTAGGTACACAGCCGGAATAGTGGACTGGACTCAAGCAGAACTAAAAGGAATGGATAGGAAGACCAGAAAAATAATGACAATGAATCATGCCCTTCATCCACGCAGTGACATTGACAGACTTTATCTACCAAGGAAAATAGGCGGGCGTGGAATGCTACAAGTACATCAGATGGTTGAAGAAGGAAAAATGGCTTTGGAAGAATATCTGAAGAACAATGATGAAGATTCACTGAAATTAGTATATCAAGAAGGCTTACTGACTACTGGAGAGACCAAACTGGCCTACAAGAAAGACCAAATGAAGAACAGAATAGAGGCATGGGAAGACAAAGCACTACATGGCCAATACATTAAAAAAATAGCTGGGAAAGCAGATAATAACAAGACCTGGCAATGGCTAAGAGCAGGAAAATTGAAGAAAGAGACCGAGGGACTAATTCTGGCTGCACAAGACCAAGCCTTAAGGACAAATGCATACAAAGTCAAAATTGAGAAGACAGCAACAGACAGTAAGTGCCGCCTATGCAAGAAGCTGAAGAAACAGTGGACCACTTGGTAAGCTGTTGCAAGAAGATTGCACAGACTGATTACAAGCAGCGGCATGACAAAGTAGCAACAATGGTGCATTGGAAGATCTGCAAAAAATATCATTTGCCTGTAAGCAAAAACTGGTGGGATCATAAAATAGAGAAAGTCATAGAAAATGATAAAATTAAACTGCTCTGGGACTTCAGAATTCAAACAGACAAGCACCTGCAACATAACACCCCAGACTTAACAATTGTAGATAAGAAAGACAAAAAAGTCTGGATAGTGGACGTGGCAGTGCCTGGAGACAGCAGAATAGACGAGAAAGAACTGGAGAAGATAACAAAATACAAAGACCTACAAATAGAAATAGAAAGACTGTGACAATAAAGTTGTTGTTATTATCTTATGTAATTTTATTGTTGACACAATCTAACACGTTTCATCTACAATATGATTAATGACATAGTCAGGAATTGGGATCTGCCTAGTTATATTTGTCATTCTAGCCTACTCTCAGCCCTTGAGGCAGACCAGGTCAGGGAACAGACAATGCATGGATTACCAAAATTCTCTAGGGGTACGATGGCTCAGCAGTTAAAGATGCTGAGCTTGTCAGCCGCAAAGCTGATAGTCTGGGTTTGAGACCTGAATACTGCATGAAGGGGTGAGCTCCTATTATTTACCCCAGCTCCTGACATCTTAGCAGTTCAAAAGCATGCAAATGTGAGTAGATAAATAAGGACCACATCGATTGGGAAGTAACAGAGTTCTGGGCTATTTGCCATTCCTGCCAGCTTAGTGCTGTCTTCAAATTTGATGAGTTCCCTTCTATCCTCTCATCTAAATTGTTTATGAAGAATACTGTGGCTAAAACAGAAACTTGAGCATCCCACTGCTTACTTCCCTTTATGCAGATGTACCCATGTTTCTCCCAAAATAAGACCAGGCCTTATATTAATTTTTGCTCCAAAATACACATTAGGGATTATTTTCTGGTTAGTTCTTATTTTTGGGGAAATACGGTATTAAATGTGTCTGTCTGGCTGACGATCTTAATTGGGGCTTATTTTTGGGTTGGACTTAGATTATGAGTATCCCCCAAAAATAATGCTAGGGCTTATTTTCCAGTTAGGTCTTATTTTTGGGAAAACAAGGGTAGTTCTGTTAAGGACTTACACATTGAATGTAGTTTGTCAACCAGTTACAAATCCATCTGGTGGAAATGGTGTCTATCCCATATTTTTCTAGTTTATCAAAAAACAGACTATGGTCTATTTTGTCAAATGCTTCAGTGAAATCCAACTACACTATGTCCACAGTATTTCACTGGTCCACTAATTTAGTCACTTTAACAAAGAATGAAATAAGATTTGTTTGGCATAATCTGTTTTTTATGATAAGAACTTTTTGAATGACAACCTTACAAGTCATTTCTCCCATTTGGTAATAGGGTGGATATTGATATTTCTAGCGCTATAATACCATAAAATTAATCTCTTTTAATTTTAAAATGTAGCCAAATATTTTTATGCAAGTCTGGAACCTCAGATATTTGAGGGATCCTGTTGATATTGAGGCTATCTGTGGAGCACAGAGATAACTTTGGTGCTTATCCCTATCAATCATAAGCATGCTCTTCCCTCTAGCACAAAGTTACCCAATGTTTCTGGCTTTGTGGACCAGTTGGGGGAGGGAGTGGAGATGGTTCTGCATGGGCACATGCAGTTCTATTTGCACAAGTGGCGTGCACGTGCACCTGCTGCAAATGGACCGTGCACACACACACACACTCGCCTACTGTTTGTGCAAGTGATGCATGTGCACATGCACTTAAAGGCCATTTCTGCGGTTCAGTTGCAAGCCCATGGCCCACAAATGGGCCGCGCACGCACACACATGCTTACTTGTTTGCACAATGTACTCACAGGCCATTTCCGTGGCTCAGTTGCAACCCCGCCATGGCCCACAGATTGGGGACCCGTGCTCTAGCATACCTCAAGTAGCACCTTGAATCATCTAGGAGTTGAGGACAATGAAGCAATCTAGTGGACTCTGTAGCAAAATGAAAGAACAAATTGGTCTGAATGTGAATTTGGGCCCTTCCCAAAACTATTTGCAGTCCTATTCCATGGCAGTAGATAATGAAGATGTACTTTTTTGCTTCTATTGTGTCTGTGTAAAAAAAGGCCAGTGATTATTTTCAGTATTGTTCAATATTTCCTCCCTCGACAATGTGGAAAAGGAACTGGTACACCCAAGAAGCTCACTGTAAGCAATATTCATTGTGCTTTGCAGGAAAGTTTATCAGATTTCTTCAACAGCAATTCTAGCTTTGGGGCAGGTTATATGAAGATAGCATTGATAACCACTGTTCCTGTTCACATAGATTACCTTCAGTTTATACATCTGAAGGAAGAGGATAGGATATGTGGAGAGACAAAGGCCACCAGCTGTTTGCTCAACCCAGTACTTCCTGGCTGATTAAATTGTGCTGGAACCCACTGTTATGGTAAATGATAAAATAAGTAAGGGATCTGCTGTCATATGCATAATGGAGATAGTTATAAAATGAATAGAAAAAGCTTCCTGGGCCCAGATACTCCCCCTGGATATCAAAAACTAAATGAAGAGAGTGAAATTTTCCTGGATATCCAGCAGCTTTTGATACTACCAACTTCTGGCCTGGCTGGTGTTGAGGCATTATTTCACAGTAATCGCTGTACTTTGCTGAAAGTAATTGCTTTCTGTCAGGACACATTCAGAAGACAGTGTCAACAGACTGCTATCTGACATCTAGATCAGATATCACAAGTTTCCATCTAATCCTCTAAGCTTTATTCTATATTCCTATTTATAGCAGTAATTAATAAAAATGAAATGACATTGCTATATATATATGCATAGGTAGAGGATAAATAAAGGTTCCTAACAGGACATAATTGTCTATCTGGCATAATTTAATGAGTATTAATATTAACATGTAAAGTATTAAACAATTTTGGGTCTGACTATTTGGGAAACTACTTCTATTATTTTGACTTCTAAACCTGTTCACCTACAATTCTGTTACCGAGGGTTAAAAATAGTAGAAAAACCAAACATGCAAAACCAAACAAGACAACCATGCTGAACAAGACAAATAGAACCAGATCTACTATACCTTACCAGTGACCAAGATTACAGACTTGCCTGGTTATTTAAAATAATAGATGTTCATTTAAATACCCCCCCCCCCGCTATTTAGTTTACCTATATGGTATTGGGAGCCTCCTGGGCCTCTCAGGTTCTAAAATATATTCCTTAAGGTATGTTTGCTCCCCCCCCCATTTCCAATAAGCATTTTATCAGCAATAGGGCAATTTTTTCATGTGTGCAGCCTTAAAAACCAGATAGCCAAAGAGAAGCAAGGCTTTGACTGGGTGGTTGTATTGCCTTTTTTATTTTTGACAGTTGTTCCCATGCCTTCCTCCCCCAGTCCCAATATATCATCACTTTTTTTATATATTAACTGGTAAAAGGATGTAGCATTTTACAATTCCTTGGTTTGCCCACCTGAAATGATTATATGCAAAAAGCCCAGCTGGGCATTTTGAAACTCAACTTCCATTTGTAAAAACCAGCTACATACTTTTCCTATTTTGGAAGGTGATGCAAGTGCCAAAGCCAGATTTCTGCAATGTCTCTTCCTCTTAATACTGTATAATATGAAATCGCTAGAGATCTGTGAGAAAACAATTATTTTTTTCTAAAATTCAGAAAATGAATTTTAATAATTGTTTTGAAGCATCAGGCACTCAGTATCTTTGTAATAATTTGCCATGCAATAAATTTGTAACGTTGTACTTTATTGATGTTTCTAAGGTATTAAATCATATCAGGACTGAATCTGTGGATAATGTCCTTAAATTTTCAACTGTATGAATTGAGCTCCATCTTGTGGGTTTCAGTGGTAACTAATTTAATTCAGGACCTATTAAATAGCCACTGTGGTTTACAATAAAATTTGGTAATTCTTGTAACTTTTCTTCCTATATAGGTATATAGAAAGAAACCGAAAAGTTATTCCCAGATTTGATTTCCAATCTCAAAATAATGACTAAGATCTAAGTTTACTTCAATCTCATTTATTCAGTAACTGAGCACAGAACAGCAATTACCAAAATATTGTTAGTTACTAAATTATTCGGGACATGTCCAATCAATCCAAAAATTTAATTTTTAATTACAGATCCAATTTCTTCTCAAAATATTATCTATAGAGATTCTAATAGAACTAATATACAGTATGAAAGCTGTAGTTGAATTAAAAAATAACACACAACTTTCTACAACTGCTTACCTGAGTCTCACACCAACGGGATGGGCTCACCCCATCTGTGAAGGCAAAGGAGGCATGCTGCAGACCCCGTTGCTCGAGGAAATTGGCTGATAAGGTCCGGGAGAAGAGTCTTTTCTACTATGGTTCCTGCTATTTGGAACATCTTGCCCCTTAGGGAGAGATCTGCTCTTACACTCCTGGACTTCCGGAAGAGATTGAAGACCTGGTTCTGTTGGTTTGGGACCTGAATGGGGAATATCATGTTGGAGGTATTGATGGACCAATAGAAGATCCCATCACCCTCCACCCCCCACCCAGAATCCTGTTCCCTCCTTCACATCTTTAATTGTAAATTGTGTTTTTATTTTTTTATTTTAGGATTATATATATTTTAATAGTTTTATTTCTTTAAATGTTGTAATTCACCCAAAGTTACTTTCAGCAGGATGGTCAGCAACTATATTTAATAAATTTTAAAAAAAACTAATTTTGTGAATGCTTAAACTAGAACTATGAGTTGGTTTTCATTCAGGAATGCAAATATAATTCTGTATGGAGAAACGCATTATAAGAGAAAAGTCAAGTTATCTAGGACAGCCAAAAACTAGGAGCACCTGTTCATACTATGTAACAAATTTGATTAGACAGTATAAACTTGTGTGAGTTATGAAAAGAGGAGCTTATCACTAATTTATAGAATGGAATGTAGTAACTGTTGCTAATTTAATAAGTAAATCATCCTGTTCCTTTGCTGCTGCAGCAAGATATCAATGGTGGGAAGCAGGGGGAAAAAAACCAAGATTTAATGGCCACAGTGCAATGCTTACTTATGATTACAAAAGGTGGCAGCATAAAAAATTCTTTTCAAATTGCACAAAAATAAAATTTTGTTTTAGCTGCAGTAAGCTCACAACTTAACAGAATAAAGGGGAGAAGTATTATTAATTAAAGCCTTAAACCATGGGAGCCTTATTTACTTTATATATTTTCTCATTTTATATATCTATTAAAGGTGAATAGGATTTAGGCAATCACATTTCAAGAATATCCAGGGAGGCATGCAGTGTATGTACAGATTTTCCACTTTAATAATAATAATAATAACAACAATAAAGTTGGAAGGGATCTTGAAGATCATCTAGTCCAACCGAGATCATCTAGTCCAACCCCCTGCTCAGGCAGGAAACCCTATACCATTTCAGACAAATGGCTGTCCAGTCTCTTCTTAAAAACTTCCAGTGTTGGAGCATTCACCACTTCTGGAGGTAGGTTGTTCCATTGGTTAATTGTTCTAACTGTCAGGAAGTTTCTCCTCAGTTCTAGGTTACTTCTCTCCTTGATTAGTTTCTATCTGCTGCTTCTTGTCCTGCCTTCAGGCGCTTTGGAGAATAGCTTGACTCCCTCTTCTTTGGGGCAGCCCCTGAGATATTGGAACACTGCTATAATGTCCCCCCTTGTCCTTCCCTTCATTAAACTAGACTTACCCAATTCCAGCAGCCTTTCCTTATATGCTTTAGTTTCCAGTCCCCTAATCATCTTTGTTGTTCTTCTCTGTACTCTTTCTAGCGTCTCAACATCTTTTTTACATTGTGGTGACCAAAACTGGATGTAGTTTTCCAAGTGTGGCCTTACCAAGCATTGTAAAGTGGTATTAATACTTCACGTGATCTTGATTCTATCCCTGTTAATGCAGCCTAGCACTGTGTTGGCCTTTTTGGCAGCTGCAGCACACTGCTAGCTCATATTTAAGTGATTGTCACTAAGACTCTGAGGTCCCTCTCACAGTTACTACTATTGAGCAAGGTACCCCCTATACTATACCTGTACATTTGGTTTTTCTTGCCTAAACGCAGAACCTTACTTTTTTTCACCATTGAATTTCATTTTGTTAGACAGCGCCCAGTGTTCAAGTCTGTCCAGATCTTCCTGTATCCTAAACCTGTCTTCTGGAGTGTTGGCTATTCCTGCCAGCTTGGTGTTGTCTGCAAATTTGATGAGTTCCCCATCTATCACCTCATCCAAATCATTGATGAAGATGTTGAAGAGCACTGGGCCCAGAACAGAGCACTGGGGCATCCCACTACACACTTCCCTCCCTGTAGATGCGGTTCCATTGAGAACCACACGCTGAGTATGCCAGTCAGCCAGCTACAGGTCCATCTGGTGGTGATGCTGTCTAATCCACATTTTTCTATCTTATCAAGTAGTAGGTTGTGATCTACTTTATCAGGAATCCATTAAAACTGAGTTTGCTAATTATCAGATTAGATTGCCAAAATGTGGATCAATGATTGTCCAGCTTTCTGTACCACAGATATAAATTTTGCCCTTCTAAAAGTTTTTTTCGATTTTATGAAGTTTCCTGGTGGTCTGCTGTTCAGTAACCCGTTAGCTTTAGCCGGTTTTCCTAGATCAGCCAAATCTGTCCAGGCTGCGTCACGAGAGATGGACGTGTAAACATAACTTGTGGTTTGTCAGTCAGCCGGCCCAGGCTTTCAGCGCTCTTCTTCCGCAGGGGCAGAAAAACACGCTTCGAGTCAACTGCCAGTCAACACGACCGGAGATTCCCACAAAGTGCGCCTAGCAACATTTACAGAAAACCCGCAATTCGGAAGCCGGGGCCGCCAAAAACAATTCATGGGGAGTAGCATCCCCGACAAAGTTTCATAAAAACCACCCCCTTCCTTCTCGGAAGCATTTGCTCTTCATGCCGGAAGTAGAAACTTCTCTGAAGGCGGAAGTCCGAATTTTTGTGAAGCTGCTTTCATGTTTTTAAAGGGTTTTTTTTCTCCACCATCTCGTCTTAATCTGCGTAATTCCGGGGGCCTCGAGGCGGGAGGTGGGAGTTGCGGAGCGAAATCCTGCCCTGCTAAGAAGTTTCTCTCCAATTTTCACTTCGCAGCAATCAGAGCCGCTGATTTTACTGAGATCTGGAACGCAGAGTGTTCAATAGATTGTCGCCAATCTCGAATATCAGCAGATTTTTTTCCCTTCAGACCTGATTTTAGGAAAAAATGCGGGCACGGAACTTGGAGGTCTCCGTCATGGTAATTAGACTTTTTAACATTACGATAGAATTTCGTGAGGCCGAGATTGCAGCGTACGTTAACATTCCTAAGGTCCTTGTAAGTCCCGTGGTGGTTTTTTTTCGTGATGTTGCAATTGTTAATGATTACTGTGATGCTCGTAGTTCAGACGTTCAACTCTTACACTAAACGTGGCTTGGTGGATAGTGGACTTTTCTCAAATTTGTCACCTCTCTGCTTAATTGAATTCAGAATATTTGGGAATTATTAACTTGCTGTGTTTAATCTGCAAAATAAACAAACCAACCCACGATGAAGATGATATGAAGTATGAAATAGTCTAGATATTGCTCAACTTCAATTCCCAGAAACGATTAATAACTTTCATATATAATATTTATCTCTGGTTTAGAAAGTAAATGCCTCATAATGTGCTCTCTTGACTCTGTATATGAGAGTCGATCCTACCTTTTCTATTGTATAATCCAGTAAGAAAAATCAACAAAGCAAGCAAAAGGATTACAGGTAGTCCTCAATTTACAATCATTTGTTTGCAACTATTTGAAGTTACAGTAGCACTGAAAAAAGTGACTTACGATCGTTTTTCACACTTAAACCATTGCAGCATCTCCATGGTCACATGATCAAAATTCAGACGCATGGCAACTGACTCATATTTGATGGTTGCAGTGTCCTGGGATCATGTGATCATCCTTTGCACTTTTTGACAAGCAAACTTAACAATTTAAATAACTGCAGTGATTCACTTAACAACTGCAGCAAGTTGTTAGTGGGACAAAGCTCACTTAACTTATCAATAGAAATTTTGGGCTCAATTGTGGTCGCAAGCCTGAAAAGGTTTAACAAAAAAAAAAACTCACAAAACCTATTGATTTATTTCATTAAATTAATTATAGTTTACCACTCTTAACAAACCGGGTAGCTTATAAAATCTAATATAAGATAATTAAAAACAGACAAAGAAAACAACTCAAGCTAAAAACATATATTAAAACACAGTATGGCAACACAGTATGGCCCTCTCTCCTTTCCCCCCAACAAATTAACCCCAGGCCTGGGACTAAAGTCAGATTTTAAATGCTTTTCAAAACCCTAGGTGCCATCTGAATGAGGAATGGTATTGCTGAATTAGTAAACCATTTGAAATCATTTTGGTTGTGTAATTGCCATCTAGCAACAAGAAACTTGAAGCTACTGTGCAGTGCTCATTTGGAATGATGTAAATGTAAATGATGTAAATTTGATAATATAACATTGGTTATTTTTTTTCTTTTTACAAAAGGGGTCCATATGAGTGAACTCAGCTCTAGTTTCTCAACAACGTTTTAAGCTGCCTGATTCAATTTGGAGGAACAGACATGAGTGGCTCCAAACCTGATATTCTGTGGGCTCCACACCATGTTGATAGATTTGTTTTATGTGACTCAGAACTCAGTCTCTATCGTATTGAATCTGCAGTAAGTTCAGAACTTAAAGCAGGATCACTGCGTTTATCTGAAGAAACTGCAGCTACTCTTTTGTCCATTAATTCAGAGACTCCATATTTAAAATGTGTGGCTTGGTATCCAAAATATGATCCTGAATGTCTACTGGCAGTTGGCCAAGCTAATGGTCGAGTTGTCTTGACTAGCCTTGGCCAAGACCATAATTCAAAATGTAAAGATTTGATAGGAAAAGAATTTGTTCCAAAGCATGCTCGACAGTGTAACACCTTGGCATGGAATCCATTAGACAGTAATTGGCTTGCTGCTGGCTTGGATAAACATCGAGCTGATTTTTCAGTATTGATCTGGGATATAAGTAGTAAATACAGTCCAGAAATTTCAATTGCCACTGAAAAATTAAGGCTTTCAAGTGATATTGAATCAGGATTAGTTGTAACAAAATCACTATATGAATTAGGTCAGAATGATGCTTGTCTTTCTCTTTGTTGGCTTCCACGAGATCAGAAACTTCTTTTAGCTGGAATGCACCGAAACCTGGCTATTTTTGACCTTAGAAACACAAGCCAAAAAATGTTTGTGAATACCAAGGCTGTTCAGGGTGTTACTGTCGATCCATACTTCCATGATCGTGTGGCTTCCTTCTATGAAGGGCAGGTTGCCATATGGGACCTTAGAAAATTTGAGAAACCTGTACTAACCCTGACAGAACAACCAAAACCTTTAATAAAAGCAGCATGGTGTCCTACAAGAACTGGGTTATTAGCTACTTTAACCAGAGATAGTAATGTCATCAAGCTCTACGATATGCAGCACACTCCCACACCTATAGGGGATGAAACAGAACCTACAATAATTGAAAGAAGCGTTCAGCCTTGCGAGCACTATATTGCTTCCTTTGCTTGGCATCCATCAAGTCAAAATCGAATGGTCGTTGTGGCTTCTAACAGGACTATGTCAGATTTCACTGTGTTTGAAAGAATATCTCTGGCATGGAGTCCAGTTACTTCTTTAATGTGGGCTTGTGGAAGACATTTGTATGAATGCACAGAAGAGACTAGATCTTTTGAAAAAGACATAGCCACCAAAATGCGCCTCAGGGCTTTATCCAGATATGGCCTAGATACAGAACAGGTCTGGAGAAACCATATTCTTGCAGGAAATGAAGATCCACAACTGAAGTCACTTTGGTACACTCTGCACTATATCCTTAAAATAGTATTTGCCACACAGGATGACTGATTCCTTCCATTCAGAAACCTTTTTGAAACATATGGATTTGTGTAGAATATATTTGGGGTGGTCCCTTTTTTCAGATTTGGGCTCTGGCATTATTCATCATTATATAAAACAGTATTAATGGCTTTCAGAAAGCTATATCATTGTTACTTGATTTGTCTAAAGAAATCTACATTTTTGTAGATTTAAGACTGAAAAGAAAGATATTCTCTGAGTTCCCTTATCAAACTTGATAATACATGTCTGTTATAACCACTTTCTGCTATTGTATAGTTATTAACTATTAGTTATTGAGAGGATTACACTAAACTCATAAAAATAATTTTGGAGAGGGTGTTTGCACAATTCCTTGGATCAAGGAAACCAAGTCAAAGTTGGTTTCTTTATGATATTACATCTAACTCAGTAGCAAATCAAGAAAAATTAATAAATACAATATTGTTTTTGCCTCACACATAATCTTATTAAGTTATTTCCTATATTGGAAAATACTTATGAAGCAATATGCTGACGATATGGATCAGAAATTCACAGGAAACAAAGGATCTTTGGTTTATGCAGGCATCAAATCTATAGTGAAAACTTCTATGGGTAAGTTCATTTTGCATATTTCATTATTTTCATATTAAATAATTTAAAAGTGATTGTCTTTAAGCTTTCATGGCCTACTCAGTATTATAGATTCATCTATTGACAACTTCTTAAACTAAATTTTTTCATGGACCTGCATGGTGTGCCATTTGATTCAAGGTAAAGCAACATTTGATTTAGAGAGGTGGCAGTAGGTGCAACATTATGCAGTCAACACTTTACACCATATTTTCTCTTTGAATCCAATTCATTGCATTGTCCTAGTTAATAGCATGATTGAATGCTAATAACAATATTAAATGATAATGATAAAACAATGCTTAAAGATTGTTGCAATACCTATATTATAATGATAAATTTAACATGATGCATTCAGATATTAAGAAGTTGTGTTTATTGTGTCTACTGTCAATCCATAATTCCTTTTCAGGAACAACAGAGAACTTGAGGCACAGCCGAAGTGGATCTGACAGACATGCAGATATTATTCAGTATACGAGTGAGGAAAGATCACTGGCTTTGCAGCTTTGTGGATGGGTAAAGAAAGGGGCAGATCTGGATGTGGAACCCTTTCTGTGCTCTTTGGAGCAAGAAGGAGACTGGGAGCGAGCTGCTGCTGTAGCGTTATTTAATTTGGACATCCGACGAGCAATACAGATAATGAACAAAGGAGCATCTTCTGGCAAAGGTGTTTTATGATATACTATCACTTTTACAGCATTTGTTCATGCTGAATATTATTTATATGTTTATCTGTTAATCAGACTGCTTTAAGCATTGTTAAATCCACAGGTACAAAAATACCTTTTGTTGATTCACTGACTGCTTTATAGAATGACATATAAGAAAACTGGGACCTAGTTTAAAATTATACTTCTATTTGTAGAACATATGAAATTCATTTGCTACCAAACTGTTTAGTCCCATAGCTGCACAAAAATCTGTGGGATTGTGGTTAATGACTTTTAATTTCTCTTGATTATTCTTTAGATCCAAGCTTGTAGAAACACTTGGACCATAACTTTGTCATTTATCTAATACTATATGAAAATTAGAATTCAGGTATCTTGAACAAGAGCTGTGTGGTGACCTAGTGGTGAAGATGCTCACCTCCCACTTGGAAGGTAGAGAGTTCAGTCCTAGGTAGCAGCAGATGTTTCTGTCCTAGGATGCAAAGAAAAAATATGCTGTGAACAAAAAGGGCATCAGCCAGTAAATGCTCAGTTCCATCCAATCATGGCCTTACATAGTTCACCTGAGTTGATTGGTACTCAGTGGATTGGTTCAGAGTAATTTTACAGAATTAGCAGGGCCAAGTATTGTGAAATTTTAAAATATACATATCTAAAAATTAAATTAATTAAGTATACTGGTAATTTCAAGTTTATCGAACCCTCAAAGAATGTGTAATAAAGAATGGATGTCTGTTTGTTTTTTCTTCCTGTTAGCATTATAAGAAATTTGAAGGTTCTTTAAGTCATGATCTGTATCTGTTTTGGTTTCAAATAACTACATGTAATTATTACAATACAATTACAATACAACGTTGGAAGAAAATATTATAATTAAGAATCTTAATGTTATTTCAAACTATATTCTTAAAAAATAGAATTTGTCACCTCCTTTGGTCTGTTGTATCTTGGTGTCAGGGACACACTGAGTCGATCAAGGTTACTTATTAATGGTTGCAATGTGTATTTACAAGGACAGATATCTGCATTCTCTTGGGAATGGTCAGATAAAACTTAAGGGACTCTGTGGGAGTTAAAGCTTTTGCCATTTTCTGCTGTGCAAGGGCTTTAAACTCAGTCACCTCTTCACACCTTCCTTCACACCCACCATTCTATTTGGAAATCCCACTATACTGGGATATAACAAAAGGATAATTTTATACAAATGGAAAATTAACTTCCTGATTTTAAGGAATGGGTCCAATATATGAATCTGTTATTTTAAAAAAAATTCTCTCTTCCAACATTGAGAAAATGAAACAATATCTTGCAGTATAGTATATATTTAGTGATAAGCTAAAGAACTGGATTTTATATTGCTATCAATAGTTATTGCATGGGTCTTTTCCTTTTTTCAATTTATTATTTTTTATTTTTGTCATATTTATTACATTTGAATCATCAAACAACATAGGCCACATATATTTGCGAATATAGGTACTCCTTGACTTAACGATCATAACTGAGCCCCAAATTTCTGTTGCTAAGCAAGACAGTTAAGTGAGTTTTGCCCCCATTTTATGCCCTTTCTTGCCATAGTTGTTATGTGAATCACTACAATAACACTGTTGTTATGTGAATCACTACAATAACACTGTTGTCAATCTGGCTTCCCCATTGACTTTGTTTGTCAGAAGATGATCACATGGCCCCAGGACACTGCAACCATCAAACATGAGTCAGTTGCCAAGTGTCTAAATTTTTATCATGTGACTATGGGGATGCTGCAGTGGTCGTAAGTGTGAAAAACAGTTATAAGTCATTTTTTTTTCAGTGCCATTGTAACTTGGAACAATCACTAAATGAACTGTTGTAAGTCGAGGACACCTGTAAACCAAGAATTTTAAGTACCAAAAAATTAAATTTGCCTTATCCATGGATGGGCTTGCCCATGTATATATACATGGAAATGTATTTTTAAAAGTACTATATTTCCATATAGGCTCACATATAAGCCCATCTACAGATAAGCCAAACTTGATTTTTTTTTCTCTTCCCCTATTGATATTGTAGGGATGTGGGTTTTTTTTATATTTATCATTAAAAATTAAAAAAAAGATTGATACATTTCACAGAATAATAGTTTATGTATATTTTGACCTGTTACCTATTGCTTATTATGTTGCTGGTAATTCTGCTGACTTTAGGTTGGGGTTTTTGTTTGTTTGTTTGTTTTGCAATGCAGGTGATCTAAATCTCAATGTGGTGGCTATGGCATTGTCAGGTTATACAGATGAAAAGAATTCCTTATGGAGAGAAATGTGCAGCACTCTTAGGTTGCAGCTGAACAATCCTTACTTATGCGCCATGTTTGCTTTTTTGACCAGCGAATCGGGCTGTTATGATGGGGTTTTGGTAAGCTTTTACCAATTTTTTAAAATTAAAAACTCTATCATTATTGAAATATTATGTAGCAAATAATTCATTTTTATGGATTATTCAGTGTCATATTAGAAGTTTGATCTATCAATTAAAGTGGTATAAATTTTGAGCCTTTGAGACAAAGGCAAAAGATATTTATGATGGAATATATTGTGGCAATATGGTTGAAAGTAGGTTTTCTTTGCATTTATTGTCCTTGCTCTGATGCAAAATATTTTGAAAAATCCCTGACGTTTATGAGAATGTAATCAGAAATATGATTACTTGATCCAAAATATATACTAGTAATCGAGCAATTAGGAGATGAATGATTAATCAAAATGTATCATATTTTTAAGAATTTGATACTGTTTTTATATTTTATATGGGGGTATGATAGCTCAGTGGTTAAGACGCTGAGCTTGTCAGCTGGAAAGCCAGCAGCCCAGGTTTGAGACCTGAGTGCCACACGATGGGGTGAGCTCCAGTCCTCGGCCCAACTCCTGCCAACCTAGCAGTTCAAAAACATGCAAATGCGAGTCCCAAAATAGATACTGCTTTGGTGGGAAAGTAACAGTGCTCTGTGATGTCATGCTGGCTACATGACTGTGGAAATGTTTTTGGATGGTGCTGGCTAAATGGACTTGAAATGGAGATGAGCACCATCCCCTAGAGTTGGCAATGTCTAATGGAGTAAAATCTGCAGGGACTCTTTTACCTTTTTTATCTTTATATTTTACATTTTCAAATTGCAATATATAGATACTTTATAATAGAAATACAGAACTGTCCTACTTCTTACCTCATTTCATGAAAAAATAAATCATTTTAGATTATGGTAAATATCTCTCTCTCTCTCTCTCTCTCTCTCTCTCACTCACTCTGTGTGTGTGTGTGTGTGTGTGTGTGTGTGTGTACATGGGGTTTTTTTTCAGAATGAAAGTAATGTAGCTGTACGAGACAGAGTGGCGTTCGCTTGTAAATTCCTAACTGATATACAGGTAAGGTGATCAGATGTGTTGCCTTTTTTTTTTTTATTCCCAAGTTTTTTCTAGAAAACACACTATGTTGAAAAGAATAAATAATAACACACTTTTCCAAATTTCTAATCTTCTTTGTGAAGAAGTAATAAGGCCAGGAATTGAATTACATCAAAATGATAAATATTTTGTGCTATTCTGGACATCAGTGTGTCTATAGATCAATATTTATCAACCTTGGCAACTTAAAGATATGCATACTTGAACTCCCAGATTTTCCCAGTCTAAGTTTGGTTGGAAACAGTTAGGGTTTGAATTTCACATTTCATTGCTGATAGTGACTATCCAGGTCTGTGGCGGTCTCTGAGCTTTTCTTGCAGACGTTTCATTACTCAAAGTAGCACTGATGATATTATCTAGTTTGGGTGATGAAATGTCTGCAAGAAAGCAACCAAGCTCAGAGACCACCAAGCTAACCAAGTTACAAATATTTTCCTTTATTGGTATAGTGACTACCCTGTGATATTCTGAGCACAGATAACCCTGTGATATTTTGAATTGGCTTTCTATTGACACAAATTTAGTGCTCTTATGAAGCAACAGCATGGCGTTTGCACTTTCTTTAATTGTTAAGAAAAGTTTTCTTAACTTCCTTAAGTTTACTTTTCTATCAAAAATAGAGACCTCAGCATATCCAAAGCTGTAGTTTCTCCCAGCAATTTCTCATATATATTCTGCAGATAAGTCAAATTAATATTTCAGAAATATTTTGAACTGAAAGACATATTGAAAATATGGATAATCTATATTATCATATTTCATATTTTGTTCATATTAAGAAAAAATTAACACAATATATATTTAATACCATATAGAGGCATGCCACATTTATGTGGGTGGGAAATAGGTAAATAATAGGTTAAAGACATTGAGAAAATCATAATTTCTTTTTAATAGCTAAACAGATTTGTTGAAAAACTAACAAATGAAATGAAAGAGGCTGGAAATCTTGAAGGAATCCTACTGACAGGACTCACAAATGATGGAGTTGATCTGATGGAAAGTTATGTAGATAGAACAGGGGATGTTCAGACAGCAAGCTATTGTATGCTGCAGGTTTGTATCTTTTTTGAAAATAATTCAAGCTTCAACATTTGTGAAAATACTATGCCTTGCTTTACACATTTATGTTCTTGCTTGCCTTTGAGGTAAATCATTTTTCATTCTATTGTTTCATTTTATGATCTGTGTGGTATCTTCAGTAAAATATTTTTGAATATTCATCTCCCTACTATTTCTAAATCACTTAGTTTTCAAGCTTGGATACAGTATATAAAATAGGATTATTTTTTGTGAAGACTAGCTAGGTTTTTTTACCTATAATTTTTAACTTCATCAGAAATATTATTTTGTTCTTGAATGCATTTTTGTTGTTGTTCATATTTACCTTTTTAGGGTTCTCCCTGTGAAGTGCTCAAAGATGAGCGAGTTCAATATTGGATTGAAAGTTACCGGAATCTGTTGGATGCATGGAGATTTTGGCATAAACGAGCTGAATTTGACATCCATCGAAGTAAGCTGGATCCTAGCTCAAAACCTTTAGCACAGGCAAGTATTCCTGGCTATGTAGCAATTTAATTAATCTAGTATCTTTAAGGACCTTAATTAAAGTACGTCACTATCTTGCTTGCTACGTTTTGCAAGCCTATTCATACAGTGCTAATCTTCCATTTATGGATGAGTTAAAGTAAAACAGATACCTTTGTCAACATTATATTTCACGTTATATTGTTATAGTAGAAATCATTTGCTTTTGTGTTTTTGATGATATAAGGAGATGTATGCTTTGTTTTTTTCTGCTAGGTATTTGTAAGTTGCAACTTTTGTGGAAAATCAATCTCTTATAGCTGCTCAACTATACCACATCAAGGCCGAGGTTTCAGTCAGTATGGTGTAAGTGGATCCCCAACCAAATCAAAAGTCACAAGTTGTCCTGGATGCCGCAAACCTCTTCCTCGCTGTGCTCTTTGTCTGATAAATATGGGCACTCCAGTTTCCTGCTGTCCAGGTGTGTTTTCCTAGTTTGAAATTGTTCATTTGATTCAAAGATTTCTAGCATTGAAAAACAATTGCTTGAATTCTTCAACTTTTTTTCTTTGTAGATCATTAATGAAATTCAGGACATTTTTACTATAACATTTTTTAGCTATCTATTGAAAACTCATTTTTTCATTCAGGCTTGCCAATATAACTGTTGGAAGAATCGTCCTTTTCTTTTTAACCAGTATTTTGTTTTTTTAAAATTTTCATTATAAACTGCTTGAAAAATAGTTCAGTATAAGAAATGGTATGCAGTGGAATATAAAAATATTACATTAATATTTGAATAACATTGTCTATAATATGCTGCTGATTTTAACTGAATTCAATTAACTTTTATTCCATTTTCTTTGCTGTGATATAATTTAAAACTGCTTTATAGTAAAATACAATTAAAAAGCCAGTATTTCTGGCAAGTACCAGGAGACTGACTCAGGAAAATAGTTTCTTCTTCTTCTTGTGCCATATCCGTTATCGGACGTTGGCGATCATGTTAGCATTCATTAATTGTCAAACTTATATTAAAATCAGACAACTCATGATCTGCTGGGTCCTCTTTTCATAGATGTTTCTAATCTAAACAGAGAAACAGAATGATCCGAGGGTGGGTAAAAAAGCAGTGGGATTGGGAACAATGTCTGACTTCTTATTGGTTTCCCTATTGAGTTGCCCTATGGGAAGCTGGCAGGAAGCATCAGCAATCTTCCTCCCTCTCCTGAAGTTCTGGCTGTCCCACCCTCCTAATAATGATATGGATTGTAATCCAGTCACTTGGCAAATGCCTGGCACTTATGTTAGTGTCCCTTGGTGATCCCATCATGACTATTTGGAACCTTCCCAGCTAGCTTCCCACAAGCAAAGACAATAGAGAAGTCAACAGAGAAGATTGCTAGTTGCACCCATCCCTTTTTCTCCCCAAAAGCCTATTCTGCAGCACCTGCCCCCACCATTCCTTGTCTATCCCCTGCCTCTTCCTGTTTAACCGGTGTGGTTTTGAGGTTGTAATGGCAACTGGGAGTGCCAGGATTGCCATCACTAAGCAGTGTGGTATAGGACATCACTCTTTACCACTGCATCACTTAGTGATGAAAATTCCAGTCCCCCAATTGCCCTCATTATTCAAGAACTGCTTGTATGTACTGTTACATAAACAAACGAAAAAAAACTTCATAACTGAAATCCAGGAATGCTGTTTTGCTTTATCTCAACTTGTTTGGCATGGGAGAATTGTCAATCCAAAGCTGTTTTAGTCATGCAGGATTAATTCAAGAATTCCTTGGATTCCTTTCTTTGCAAATTCATAACACAAATATGTATGAGGAAAACAACTATTTGCTTCAGCTGCATAAAACAAGAGGCATCCTGTCAGACAAATGAAATGACAAATTTTATTTTTGAATCTTTTTCACAATGAAGGGCTTCCTGTCCTGTTTGTTTGGGACGAGATGTCATCAATAAACAGATAATAGCCTGTTACACATGTCTACCAGAAGCTCACAGCAAGTTGTGGTAGAAGCCATGACGTAGATGTCTCGATGGGGAAAAGCAGACTCATATGCAACCTAAATAAGAAAAAATGTCTTTTGATTTGGAGGCCATTTGTTTCCGGGATTGTACCATTTTTTCTTCTTGATAGGATGTGCTCCCCAGGAGGAGCAGGGTGACAATCTGGGAATAGACCTGAACAACTGCTCACAAGGCAGGTGAAGACCGTGACATAGCTTCACTGAAACCTGGAAGAGGATGCACTGATTTAATTTAGAGATTGTTTTACTACAGGGGTGTCAAACTGCCGGCCTGCGAGCCGGATGCATCATAGCGAAACCACGCCCATCCCATTGCTGGCAATGGCAAAAAAGTCGTGATACGTCGCTACACATCACGTGACATTGCAAGTTTGATACCGCTGGTTTACTACAACTTGCTATGAATGGAACTGCCCTTGAAGACAATTTGGAAAATTCAGCTTGTCCAAAGTACAGTTACACTCATGCTCAGGGATCAGTTACAACGCAACAACAGTAGTAATTACTGATCGTTATCTATAAAGCCTTTTATGGCTTGAGGCCTGGGTATTTTAGGAATACCCAGGAATCTTTCCCAAAGATTTCTTCCCTTTGTACTTAAAATAACTAGGGAATGCTTGCTAAGAGCTTTAATTACCAGGAGCTAGGATGAGAAGAGGTCTGGCAGCAGGGATTCTTCTGTATAGCATCTCCATCATTATGGCCTTCTTAAGTAAGTATGTGTGGATTAGTTATATTAGCTATGCTGTATTCAATGAATTTAACTTATAATTTTAACCTTGAAATAGAATTTAATTTGATTACTATTTTTAATTGAGATATTAAGTTGTATTGCATTTTATATGTAAATTCTTTAAGTCATTTGGAGTCCTTATAGTTTCAGATGATATATACATATATGTACACTGTACATATATACATACATAAGTAGATGCAAGTAAGAGTCTGATTTTCCCTTATCACCTTTACAAAAGCCAAATCTGAGCTTATATTAAAATAAATAATTTGAATTTGGGATACTATGGAGGGGGAGGAAGCAACTTAGATAAAAGTGATCATACAACAAATACAAGAAACAGAACAGCAGAATCAGAAAAAAATATTTATTATTTGATATTTTAGTTTTAATTGCAATGGGTATCTGTGGAGATTCTCAGTCATCCAGGTCATAGTTATCCCAAAGATGCTTTTCCATGAGGCAACTGAACTTTCTTGTTTTCTTTGAAGATGTTTCGCTTCTCATCCAAGAAGCTTCTTCAGCTCTGACTGTATGATGAGAAATGAAAGGATTTATATTCCTTGCAGACAGCTAGTTGTTTGCATTCTTTTAGAGAGTTGTTGATGCCACCTGGAGGATTATCTGGTCACCTGAGTATTGCATATGGAACTGTCAAAAGGACTGTTTTATAAACTGAAGATAGATGATGTCGTATCCCTCCCCCTCTGTTGAGAGAGGGCTGTTCAATTTTGACATAGATGGCCTCTTTGACCTCTCTTTCGAACCAGCTGTCCTCTCTGTCCAAAATGTGAATTTGATGAAGGCCCACTTGGGATAGTCACAAGTTCTGAGGGCTTCCTTGATGTATTTTACATCTTTGCTGGTAGGCAGACCTTGAACTTGGTGTAGAGTTCTGATGTGTTCCAGTAGGTGATGAGAATCAAAATATAAATATTAATCTCTGTGTATGGGTTTTCTGCAAATTTCAGTGTTAAGGCTTCTGTCTTCCTTAATGTATAATGCACAGTCCAGGAAGGCTAGACTATTTTCCTTAACATCTTCACATATGAATTTGATGTATCTGTCTATCGAGTTGATATGTTTGGTGAATGCTTCAAATTCCTGTGTTTTGATCTTGACCCAAGTATCGTCCACATACCTATACCAGTGAGTGGGTGGAATTTCGATGAAGGAGTTTAGGGCTTTGGTTTCTATCTCTCCCATGTAGAGATTGGCCGCAGTGGGGGAATGCAAGTGAACCCATGGCGCAGCCACTTTTTTGTCTACAGAAACCTTCACTGTATTTAGAATAGGTAGTGATAGGCAGAGGTCCAGAATGGCACTTATGTGGTCTGCGCTGAGGTTGGTTCTATCATCTAAGGTGCTGTCTTGTAGCAATCATTTCTTCATTACCATGACAGCTTCAATTGTTGGAATGCAAGTGAAGAGGGAAGTCACATAATAGGAATCTATGGTCTCATCTGGGTCTATTTTTAATTTCCAAACCTTGCTAGCAAAGTTGTGTGAATTGTTGATTTTCTTCAGTCTAAAACACAGTCCTTTCAACAGTTCTAAGAAGGTTCCATACCCATTTGCACTCCTCAGGTGACCCTGAGGGCATCAGCGACTCTCTAAAATGAAAATGACCAGCTGTCTGCAAGGAGTATAAATGTTTCTATTCCCCACCATCCTTCTTGGATGAGAAGTGAAACGTCTTCAAAGAAAAATGAGATAATCCAGTTGCCTCATGAAAAAGCATCTTTGGGATAACATTGCAATGGGTATTATTAAAAACATAATTATCAGTTCTAAAGATTATTAGTCTGATACTTAAAACACGACAAAAATTTTCAACTATTTGTACCTATTTTTTTTAAGTGTTCATAAAAATAATTGTCCTATGTACTGATTTTTAACTTGTTCTTTTCTTTTTAGTGATTTAATAACAGCTTTTCTGCTGGAACAATATTCAGTAAGCAACTCTGATTGCTACAAAAGCAAATTAACTGGGTTTTTTTTTTTTCATAAAGGAGGATCCAAGTCAGATGAAAAAGTAGACCTCAGCAAGGACAAGAAATTAGCTCAGTTCAACAACTGGTTTACTTGGTGTCACAACTGCAGGCATGGTGGTCATGCTGGACATATGCTTAGTTGGTTCAGGTAAGGAACTAAAAATAATACTATGTGAAGCCAAGAATCCTTTTTAGCCTTATCACCTTTAGCCAATATGTTTACACATCAACATATATCAGCAAAATTCTAATTCTACAAAATATGTAGAACTAAGAACTATATCAAGAGATAGTCAGATTTGCAAAAAAATAGAGCACTTAATAAATATAAGAAAAATTTGTGTACATTCAGTAAAAGATTTGAGTTTAAAAAAAAGTCACCTGTTTTTCTTTACAAAATCTAACAATTATAATTCTAAATACCATTTGCAGCTCAGTGCAAAGGTTCACAAATAGATTGTACATCCATAAATATTGACATATAGTTCTTTTAAAGAACTGACATAATCTAGTCAGTATTTTTGCCTGAATTTTTATAATTGGACTAAATGGTCAATTTGTCTTTTAATGCATTTTTAATATTTGTATGCTGCCAGCAAAACTTGTTCCTCTTCCATAACATTTTTAAGCACAGTCTAGCTATAACTGCAGACACTAATTAATTACTGGCTCTACTGTCTACAAATAACTCTCAGTACATCCAATGTTAAGTATTTTATTCCATTCTGTATTAGTAAGTCAAATTTAAGAATTTTTCTTCTTTAATTGTAATCTTTATTTCCGTCTAGTTTCCTGTAATGTCCAACCTTTCAAGTTCCATCTTATCATTTTTTTAATAATTCAAAAACTAAAAGCATTTTCCCACAGGAGGGATTCTTATCATTAATTTCAAACTCTTTATTTCCTATCCATCTAGACCACAGGCAACCCTGGCTTTTATGACTCGTGGACTTCAACTCCCAGAATTTCTGAACCAGCATGGCTCAGCTTGGAAACCTCTCCCTTTCCCTTCAGCATGGCTGGCTCAGGAATTCTGGGAGTTGAAGTCTACGAGTCATAAAAGAGCCAAGGTTGCCTACCCCTGATCTAGAATCTCTATGCATTTGTAAATTTCCAAAATCAGTGTTCTAATCACCTTTTCGTACTTTATTCAAAAATAATAATAATTGAAACCCTTAACATACAGTGCTGCAAAATTTATCATTCCAAAGGCTCCTACTGGCTGAAAAGTAGTTAACCAGCAATTTCCAAAAGTAATTAGAAAAGAGTTTGTAAATTCAGTGCCCATAAAAGCACCAACCATGGCTAGAGTTCTAAATCCCACTAGAGCAGGGGTCTTCAACCTTGGCAACTTTAAGACTTGTGGACTTCAACTCCCAGAATTCCTCAGCTAGCAAAGCTGGCTGAGGAATTCTGGGAGTTAAAGTCCACAAGTCTTAAAGTTGCCAAGATTGAGGACCCCTGCACTAGAGACTGCTGTGTTGTGATCTTTTCACAAGGAGTAACTTTGTGGAGGATTTGGGGACAATCCCAAGTCCTTTCCTGTCCAATGGGAAATTACGAAGAGTTGGTCTACTTGCAGGTTGGTCATTCTGCCATGGTCTCAGTCTCTGCTTTTAGCAAAACCATCTTTAGTTAACCATTTCTTCCCGGGAAGTCTAGAACATGTTTCTGTAAAAAAGTATAGCTAACCTATGGCCCTAATTAAATATACACCATCCTATTTATAGAGTTAATTTTTCAATATTGGGAGCTTAATTTTACACTTATTAGCAATTTATAAATTATGTATATCTTCTTTTCTAAGCCCATTCTACCATGTACCACAATACCATGTTCATATTTCTTATGAAAGGTATGCATATAAATTTATAATAATAAAATAAATAATAATAAAAATAATACTGTATTTATACTGTGTGAACAAAGCAGTTGTTCTTGAACTGTTGAACAAAATAATATTCTTTTTGTTCTTATACAGAGATCATAATGAATGCCCTGTTTCTGCATGTTCCTGTAAGTGTATGCAGCTGGATACAACAGGAAATCTCATCCCAGCAGAAGTTGTTCAACCATAGAAGAGAGCTTTTCTAAGAATTTTCACAACATCTCTCTAATACATATTCTTCACAGCCCAAATACATACCTCAGAATAAATTATTCATGACTTGCTTATAATAGAAATATAAATCATTTTATCACATCAGCAATTTGTGCACATGGTTTTTGATGTGCTTTGCATAACCAAGTTCTGCTTGACTGAGTTTTTCAAATGTGTCATATGGGTTTTATTCAGTGGTTTGTAAAGCAGTTCTTTTCAGAAGCTTCATTGAAATATGAAGGAAGACTTATGCTCTCTGCACCTTGAGACAAAAGATGAAATACTGTTGAACACTACCTTTTTATGAATTTTATAAACTTCCAGAAAACTTTTCACCATGAGGCAAATAAATGTGTTTTAGATGTATTTTACACCATTTCTATTAGTGCTTTTCTTAGATCTGAGAAAGTTTCTGTATTTTATTTGCTCACAGTACAGTATAGTTTAGCGACAATCCTATGACAATCTTTTGATTAGCTTAGGTTTTATTTAGTTTGAATAAATAGATAGTAAAGCTGAATTTCCGGTTAGTGTGAATTATATTCATCTGAATATTGTTTTGAATTAGGACACTCATTTCTATCACAGAATTAAAAGTAATAACAATCTGAAAAAGTAGTTTAAATCACTGATAATAGTAGGTGCCACTTGCCATTATTATACTAATGATTTTTTTGCAACTAATCTTTCACTGCAAGTGTTTCTCCATTGATTAAAATCTGTTTAACATACAATAGAAGCTTTGTAAACATGTTACCAACAACAAAATAATAAATTGATTGGAATAGCAAGTTTATTTTTGCTGATAGAATGAATTTTTTTTTTACCCCTTGGACATTTAGTGTTCCCTGATCAGGAAGGGATGAAGATTTTTACTCCTGCATGAGTGGAAATTCACTTGGACATTTGGTATAGTCTGGCATACTTGTTAGTCTACATATTTTCTATCAATTACTAATACAACAAACAGCTATTCAAAATTTCAGTAGATAACTAGAAACCTCTCTACTTTCAGTGCAATTTAGTAACCGCTTTATATAACATTTGCCTAATTGTCAATTTTATATTTTGTATTGTGCAAGTTAGGGATCTAAGAACCATGCAATATTTTAATTCACTTCTTTTCTATTTCTTGAAAAAATCTTTTTGAATGAAAAATGTTCTTCAGAAACCTAGATAATGGGCAGGAATGAAAGGAATATAGAAAATGTATTTCTCTCGCTTATGGAAATGGCCTCCATTTGAACCCAGGATCCAGACAACATCTATATGCCTACTTGGTTTATAAGGGGAAAAAATCCTTAATGGATAAAGTTATATTTATTTTTATGTATAGAGTTTTGTTGCATAAGATGTAGACTTTCTCAGACTACTTCCAATCAAAATTTTGTTTGAGTTCTTAATTTTGTTATATATTTTTGGAATAATAAATAACCACCTGGTTTTAATAATTATCTATTAAGCCGTTAAGAGCAATTTAGAAACTATTTTTGTATCCTTGTATTTGAAGTACTTGTATTTGAGGTGCATGGATAGTAAATTGTCTTCTACCCTTATGTAAATATGAATTGATAATATTTGGGTTTTGAAAAGTAGGGAATTTCAGTTTTATTTCATGAGTAGGGCATCTTGCACTGTTACTTCAGAGATAGCCATGAGATATTGCTAAATAGCTACTCTGAGAACTCCCCTGTCAGCACAATGGCTAGAGAATTCTGAGAGTTGAAATCTATAAATTTTAAAATTGCCAAGTTTGATAAACTTAGTTCTAGATTATCTTCCAGATAACTTGAGTTTCCATCTTCCAAATTCTCAGCTAAATTCTTCTTTCTCGAAAGCTCTTCAAAAATCAGCTCCTAAAGATGTGTCACTCATTGTAAAACAGTAACTTTGAGAATTTTTAGTAAGCACTTCAATTACTTGGATTCCATTAAATACAGCTGTTTCCATTTTAACTAAACTAAATGCTTGATTTGATTGCGCAGTTTTGACTATGATTATTAGATTAAGCTTTTACTGTAAATCTGTATTGAAATATTAAGTTATACTTCATTTTTGCTTTTTCAATATATTTTTAAGATTTAATATTATATTGAAAAGAAGAGCGGAGCATCACCTAAGTTTAGATCATTGTTATTATTATTTTGCATTTTATGGTTGGTAAATACACACGCACACACACACACACACAAATTGTTTTGCTGCATTCAAAGTTTCTTATTAAATATTCATATAATACTATAATTTTCCATTTATTTGTCTTTAAGATCTCTTACTCCATTAATTTTCATTCTTAACTAAGGTCATGTTATTTCATTGTTCATCCCTTCCAATTTGTTCTATTCTATATAAATTACTTGAATTAATTTGTAAAGTATTGTATTTCTAGCGTGCTATATAACTAATGTCCAACAACTTAAACAATTAGATAGAACATTTATTTCTCTTTTCCCTTTAGCAACTTGTGTTGAATACACATATTACAGTCACAAAGTCATCATAGATATATTTCCCTTTTTGTAGAAAATAATAATTTATTCCATAAAAGTTGTAATGTTATCAGTATCTGAGATCAAAGAAGCTTATAGCCAATTGTTAAGAACACTGAAACACTCCTTTTAAAGCATTCATAGTATTGCTTGGGTCCTGCAATGTGAGCTTGAAGCAAAATCAATCAAAATATTTTTTTCAAGATAATTTTAATGAGATGAAAAATCACAGGATGTTTAGAAACACTTGGATTACAACATTTGGTCTGTCATAACAGTAGAACAAATTTCATCTTTTTGTTGTGAAAACAACTCAAAATGAACACTCTCACTCTTATGCACTCCCTCACATTTTCTCCAATATTTGCTAGTCTTTTAGAAAAGATTTTTGTCCCACTTTTCTTCCCATGTACAACTCAAGGTAATAAAAATACCAATACTCCTTCCTCCTATTTTCCCCACAACAACCTGTGAGGTGAATTGGTATGAAAGAGAGTGACTAGCCTAGGGGCGGGCGATTAATTTTTCCAAGGGGCCACATGAGAAATTGAAATTATTATGAAAGTCTGAACCAGAAGATTGAACGTAATACTGCTGAATATTAATTTTACCATTTTATAAAAAGCAGTAAGCTCTTACTATTTCGATTAACTTTTACTGTAACAATGCATGTTATTTTTTATTTATATTTGATTTTCAATTTCCTATTGATCTCAAGGCAGACAGACTGGAATGCAGAAAGGCTGGATGTGGGCAGGGGTCATAAAATGCCCACATTTGGAGTAGCCCAAAGTCACCCAAATGGTTTTTCATGGCTAAAGCAAGGCTAGAACTCAGTCTGCTGTTTTCTAGGCTAACACCTCAACCACTATACCAATCTATCTCAAAACTGGGAAACATTTATTTGCATTTATTTATCAGATTTTGAAACCATACATCTGTCACAGTGGGATTCTGAGCAATGTACAAATAAAATATTAAAACAAAAACAGTATATAATGTTTAAAAAGGCAAGGATGGATTAAAAATCTATGTTTAAACTTAAAATTAAACATCTAATACTGCTAGGAAAGCTGTGCCCCATCCTGATGAGCAAGTGCCAAGCTTTGATGTCACCTCTTTCCAAAAAACACTGCAGACGGTTAACATTCAGAAAGCAGCAGGCCCAGATAACTTCCCTGGATGTGTCCTCAGGGAATGCGCAGAGGAGTTGGCTTGTGTTCTCACAGATATTTTCAACCTCTCATTGCAGCAGGCAGTGGTCTCATCGTGTTTTAAGACGGCCATCATCTTGCCAGTGCCAAAACAGTCCACAATTACAGGCCTCAATGATTACTGTCCGGTTGCACTGACATCCACCATCATGAAATGCTTTGAGAAGATGATACAGGACACTTGTATCTAGCCTTCCGCCAGCATTTGACCCGCTTCAGTTTGCCTACCGACCAAATCGCTCTACGGAGGATGCTATTTCTTTCGTTCTCCATCTGATTCTGAAGCACTTAGAGGAAAGAAATACTCATGTGCATTTGCTGTATGTCGACCTCAGTTCGGCGTTTAACACAATCATTCCCCAGCCATCTAGTAGACAAACTGGGCCTTTTAGGCTTAAACACTCTTTTGTGCAACTGGATTCTTGATTTTCTTACGAACAGGCCCCAATATGTGCAAGTTGGAACAAATACCTCTAATACCATTTTCTTGAGCACAGGTTCTCCTCAGGGCTGCGTCTTAAGTCCGCTGCTGTTCACCCTGTTGACCCATGACTGTTGTGCTAGGTTTGCCACCAACCATATTGTAAAGTTTGCAGATGATACAACAGAAATGGGCCTTATTCAGGATGAAAAGGTGGAAGCTTACCGCAAGGAGGTTGAGGGGTTTGTGAACTGGTGTAAGGAAAACAGCCTAGTTTTAAATATCGGAAAAACCAAAGAGATCATTGTTGATTTCAGAAAAGGCAGGCACAGCCACACTTCTCTGTGCATTAATGATTCACTTGTAGAGATGGTTACCAGCATCAAATCCTTGGGTGTGCAGCTAACGAGTAGGCTGACTTGGTCGCTCAACAGCGAGAAACTGGTGAAGTGGGCACAGCAATGCCTGCATTTTCTGCGTCACATGAGAAAAGCACATCTTCTTTCCCCTGTCCTCACCACTTTCTACAGGGGGACAATCAAGAGCATCCTGTCATATAGCATCACGGCCTGGTTCGGAGGCATCACTGCTTCAGACAGGAAGGCGGTGCAGAGAGTGATGAGAATGGCCGAAAAGATCATTGGCAGTTCCCTCCCTCCCATCCAGGACATAGCACCGAAGCATTATTTGAGCAGGGTCCACAAGATTATCTGGGACACTACACATCCTCTTCACAACCTGTTTTCCTTGTTACCTTCTGGGAGAAGGCTTCGTGGTATCCATAGCAGAACATCCAGATTCAGCCAGTTTCATCCCATACAGCATTAACCTTGTAAACTTCCGCCTTCCGTTATATATTCAAGATGGACAGTATTTAATATTTATTTACTACGTATATGTAGGGATGTGGGTCTGTACATACGTTGTTCATAGTATGTTTAGGTGTGTGTCATGTATGTTTTTCACTTTGAGAGCAGGCAACTAAATTTCATTTTTGATGTGTGCCATTGTGCCCACAGTAAAAAAATGACAATAAAAGTTATCTTCTCCTCCTATTATTTTCCCACAAAACCAAATCTGTGAGGCAATTTGGGCTGAGTGACAAGCACAAAGTCATCCAGCTAGCTTTCACATCTAAGGCAGGACTAGAATTCAGTCTCCTGGTTTCTAGCCCTTTCTTGCGCACCTTTCCTAAACCTTACCATAATTCCCTTACGTTCTCATGTCTCTCCCTGGCAGCCGCTTTCTGCTACTGGCTGTTCGTGAGCCACCTGGGACTTGCAACTTTCTGCTGGCTTCCCCACTGACTTGGCTGTGAGAAGCTAGCAGGAATTTGCCTAGCCCAGAGGTAGGCAACCTTGGCTCTTTTATGACTCGTGGACTTCAATTCCCAGAATTCCTGAACTTACCCCTGGCCTAACCTAAGGACACTGGGGTTTAGTTAACAGTAACCAGGCTTGCAGGAATTGCCACCACTAAGTGGTGAATTTGCACTTTACAATCACATCACTTAGCAATGAACATTCAAGTGCCAATTGCCCTTGTAAGTTGAATACAACAGCAGCTTTATTTCAGTTCTGTTTCTTTTTATTTCCAAAGTGGAATATGTCCATACTACAGCAAGCGTTGCATTGATACTTTCTTTTTAATACTTACAAATTATATAGTTCAACCTTGTATTTAAAAAGTTTCAAATCTTCAATTTATGTTTCCTCTTCAAATCAGAGAAATTATCTTTCAGAAATAAATGTCACCTGGGTACTAATTAGTCTGTTATGTTTTGCACTTTTGTCAAACCAAGCAGTTGCATTTACCAATTATAGTAACATTTGTGGTAACGGTGTTTGCTTTCTAAGAGAGCAACCATTTTCTGAATACAGAGTGAAATGGTACCTACTATTCATAAAGCTTTTTAGTCTATCAATTTCACTGCAGACAGAATGGCTAAAAAACTCCTATATCAAATATGAACTGCTTCAAATGTTCAGTGCTTAGAAACCAAACCTATTTTAAGTAGAACATTTTCAAGCATTCTGTGTTGTTTCACATGTGATTCCAAATTTGTCTTCTGTGTTCTTATAGTGTAGTGGGAGGATCAGTTGTGTTCCTGCTATTGATTTAGGCTGAATGGATGAATTAGAATAAACTTTTGGACTAAAGCAATAGGCATTTATGAAGCACAGTGAGGGACTGCTATTCTAGATCTAAGAGAGATCTACAGCTAGAAGGGCATTTTTTCACAGGGAAGGAGAAAGAGACAGGATTAGGAAAAGCACAAATTGATTAGCAGCAAAATCCCTATTCTTAAGGACAGTAGAGAACTGCAAAGTGGCTGAAGCAGCAGATATCATACTAACTTCAACAAGTAGCTTCAACCTTTTCTGCATCACTGATGCAGGGAGCAAAATGTTCATACGACCTGAATGAATCTTGGAGATCTTCTAGTGCAGCCCTTGCCCAAGACAGGAGTCATTATGCCATTCTGGACAAATGGTTATCTAATCTTTGCTTGAAAACCACCAATGGAGCACCTATAACTCCAAGAGGCAAGTGGTTCCATTGATTAATCCTTCTGTCAGGAAATTCATCCTTAATTCCAGGTTGGATCTCCCTCTGATGGAACTTCCACCCATTGCTTCTTGTCCTGCCGTCAGGTGCTATGGAGAATAAATTGACACCTTCTTCCCTGTGACAGTCTTTCAGATATTGGAAGACTGTAATTAGGTGGCCCAAAAAGCAATATAGAATATTTGATGAAGAAACTAAATGAGTTTGGAGCTTTAGTTGGCTTTAAAATAAACAGAAAACAATGCTTGTTAAGAATATGACCTCCCAGGGTTATGAAATATTGGCTAAAAAGTTGTGTTTTAAGGTGGAGAAATACCTGGGGATTATATTGACAAATACAAATACTAAATTGTTTCAAAATAACTTGGTGCCTTTTTGGGATGATATTAAAAAAAAGTCTAATTAAGATGTGATAAATTCTATCTATTATTGGGCAGAATCTGTAATTAACATGAATGTCTTACTAATGATGCTTTTTCTGTTTCAGACTCTACCAATACTTATAAATGATATTCCATTTAAGCAATAGCAAATGGACATATCTAAGTT